CTCCTCGCACCCTGTCATCACATCTCTGACTAGTCTGACCCAGTCTGATAAGATGGTGGCCGGCACCCCGCGGGGATCCACTTAGCCGGCCATTTTCTGGGCCGCAAATTCCCAGTTTGCGGCATCGGCCACGTACCAGGATCAGGTCAAGTCCACATTCGTCCGGTGACGAAGGCAACGAAGCCTACAAGCCTGGAGAGCTTAATGAAAAGGTAGCAATCGGTCAGGCTGGCCGGCCTCACCCGTGCACTAAAAACCCAGTTTTCCTACAGATAAAACCTCGTTGTCCCATCCTCACTTGATCCGGTCCTCTCGCATTATATCAGCCCCCACATAGACCCCAGCGCAGGCAAGCCTCTGGCCGATGCCGAGGCTGGACAACCAAAAGAGAGGCCTGTACATTTGTTCCGTCACGGGTCTATCCGGCTGACTGGTTTGGCCTCTACATCGGAAACCCATATGTTCCCATGCGCCATGCCAGGTATGGCGTCAGTCTGTCCGGATCTGCCAGTCCGTGGGCATCTGTGTGTGTGTGTTTGTGTGTTTGTGTGTACGTGTGAGCACATACGAGTCATGACGTTTCAAGGAGCACAACCGACAATCGGTTGCGTGTAGGTGAATTTGACTGGATCGCAAATTTGCATCGAACTAAGCAGTTGTATGGGAGAACAGAGAGCCATGCACACTGGCCGGTTGTGGTCATAGTATGCTACCGGTTGGGCTGGTTGGACTACCGTCTGAGTCAGACATAAAGTAGCCTTCGAAGGTATGAAGAACAAGATGGTGTGGCCTTTTGTGTGGTCGCAGTAACCCTACTAAACACTGTGGTCACCCTGGATTGCTTAAGACAACAAAGGACGATAGTGATAGGGTAGGTACAGTAGGCGGAAACGAAAGGTCTACTCATAAGATTGAGGGAAAATTGAAACCTTAAAAGAAATCTGATGGAAAAAAGCTCACATACATCATCGAATGGTAGTCTCAAAAGCCGGTTTTTAAACGAAGAATAAATTAGGCAGAAGTTGTTTGACCTTGTTTTCGCAACTTGGTCATGTTGGTAGGAAGACTTAGAGGAGTCCATTGTATGCATGATTATTTACAAAGTTGGACCGTGGACGTGGTACTTTCCAAGACGTTTGGCCGGCCTCGTAGTCGGCATCGCCATTCGCAGCAACATATTACAACTCGTCAAAGAGACAAGAGTTGTTGTATAGTGCAAAGAATGGCGATACTCACTGACGATGCCGGCGAAACGTGTGAGAAAGTACCACGTCCACGGACCCACTTTGGAAATAATCATGCATACAATGAACTCCGGACTAGGTACGTTCCTCTAAATCTTCCTACCAATATGACCATGTTGCGAAAACAAGGTCAAACAACCTCTATAGAACGAAAGGAGACTGCGACCACAAAAAAAGGCCACACCATCTTGGTCTTCATACCTTCGATTAAAAAAAAATTTATTTTAGGAAAGAGGGGACCAGATTAGGCAGAGATGTGTGTATAAAACCCAAAAAAATTAGGTTCCCCTGTGAATTTCTTCTCCAACAATGTTCCTTCTTTTCGAGAATACTCTGACCAATCTCCAGATTGGGCTGTTGCAAGATTCTGTGTTCATGTGGTAGTGCCCATGTGGAAGAGAGCCCATCCTTTGACCAAACGTGTGCTACACTGTTTTGGTATCTTCCCTTCTGCCCTGGCCTATTCACATTTCATATATCCTTCTATCACAATTTTTACTGTGATTATTTTGATGTAGTGTGGTGTGCTCCTTCGAGCCGGCCACACGAGCTC